GAGTGTGCCGCATGACGGAATGTGCTCCCGTCTCTAGTTCCAGCTCCTGCCAACCTAGCAGTTTGAAAGCAAGAAATTGCAAGTAGACAAATAGGGACCACTTTGGTGGGAAGGTCACAGCGTTCTGTGCGCCTTGGTGTTTAGTCATGCCGGCCACATGACCACGGAAACGTCTTCAGACAGCGCTGGCTCTTTGGCTTTGAAACGGAGATGAGCACCGCAACCCTAGAGTCGGATTCGACTGGCTTTCGAGCAAGGGAAACTTTAGCTTTAGCTTTACCTTTACTGAGAAACTGGGAGTGCCCCTGATAAATTGGTTATATGTGTAAGGTTCAAACATTTCAGATTGTGTTGATTTCCCCCAAAACGGGGGGGGGGGGGGGGGGAAGGGGGAGGGCAGTGCCCTGAGGCCTCGGCCGCCATCGTGAACACAAATCCCTTCCCCCGTGCTGCGTTCTGCCTCGGGGTCAGCGAGAGATGACAAGTGGTTGATAGAGACCGTCTGCTTTCTCGTCTCACTTTCCCCCACGGGGAGGGGAAGAGAATGTTTCTTCGGACAGCTGTCTCAGGTTAGCAACGGCTAAGAGGACAGGTTGCTTGTTCCGGGCGTCAGCTTTGACGGAAAGGAGCCGGCGGGGGCGTTGGGGAAGGGATGTGAGGGCCAGAGATCTTGGGCCTTGCGTCAGAGGTTCAGCCTGAGTGACGGGCCGGAGGGAGAGGGGAGGGGGTGCCGCATCCGACGCTCACCGTGTGCATCGGCCCGGTAAAGGTAAAGGTGAAGGTTTCCCTTGCTCGAAAGCCAGTCGAATCCGACTCTAGGGTTGCGGTGCTCATCTCCGTTTCCAAGCCGAAGACCCAGCGCTGTCCGAAGACGTCTCCGTGGTCATGTGGCCGGCATGACTCAACACCGAGGCGCACGGAACGCTGTTCCCTTCCCACCGAAGTGGTGCCTATTTATCTACTTGCAATGTCTTGCTTTCGAACCGCTAGGTTGGCAGGAGCTGGAACTAGAGACGGGAGCTCACTCAGTCACGCGGCACACTCGGGTCTTGAACTGCTGAACTACCACAGCCTACAGTTCAGCATCTGAACCACTTGAGCCGCATCGGCCCGGTACCAGCAGGAAATAAAAATTCAGTCCGGGTTTGACTGCGGTAACATCTGTTCTGAAACCACTAGTCAGAGACGCTGCCGAGAGCCGCCACGGCCTCCTGGGAAAAGAGGCCCCGTGGTGGTCGAACGTGCTGTCTAATCGCAGCCCCCTTGTGGTGATTCGGAGCACTTTTCCGGGCAAGAGGCGAGCAGAGGGGGTTTCCCGTTGCCTGCCTCTGCGTGGCGACCCTGGACTTCTTTGGGGGCCTCCCAGCCGGCCCTGCTTGGCTTCTGGGATCTGATGAGACTGGGTCTTCCTGGGCCGCCCAGGTCAGGGCCGATGAACACGGGGGCTTTGCTGTCGCCTACCTTCATGTAAAGATCTTGGACTTCCTCCGTGTTCCCCCCTCCAAATACTACCCCGGGGCTGACCCTGCTTAGCGTCTGAGATTGGATGAGATCGGGCTAGCCTGGGCCATCCACGTAATAATTAACTACCGTACGGCAGTGTGTGTAGAATAGCCGGGAGATCCTAAGATTGTCTGGCAGACAGAAGTCCTAGCTCTTTTAGTGTTATGCGCCACTAGGTGATGAGCTAGACTTGTTTTTAAGGCAAGAGACATTTCAGAGGTGGTTTGCCATTGCCTGCCTGACATTGTGTGTAGAATAGCCAGGAGATCCTAAGATTGTCTGGCAGACAGAAGTTCTAGCTCTTTTAGTATTATGCGCCACTAGATGATGAGCTAGACTTGTTTTTAAGGCAAGAGGCGTCTCAGAGGTAGTTTGCCATTGCCTGCCTGACATTGTGTGTAGAATAGCCAGGAGATCCTAAGATTGTCTGGCAGACAGAAGTTCTAGCTCTTTTAGTATTATGCACCACTAGGTGATGAGCTAGACTTGTTTTTAAGGCAAAAGACATTTCAGAGGTAGTTTGCCATTGCCTGCCTGACATTGTGTGTAGAATAGCCGGGAGATCCTAAGATTGTCTGGCAGCCAGAAGTTCTAGCTTTTTAAGTGCTGTGCACCACTAGGTGGCGAGCGAGGCTTGTTTTTAAGGCCAGAGGCGTCTCAGAGGTGGTTGGCCGTTGCCTGCCTCTGCGTCACGACCCTGGTATTCCCTCTAAGCTGAGTGAGTGTGAGCCAGCTCACAGTTTTTTTAGCCTTCAGCTCACAGATTTTCGTCTTAGCTCAGGAAGGAGGGCTCCAGAGCAAACTCATGTATAAAGCAGCCAAATCGCTCACTCACAATTTTACTGCCGGTAGCTCACAAAGTAGAATTTTTGCTCACAAGACTCCGCAGCTTAGAGGGAGCATTGGTCACGACCCTGGTGTTCCTTGGAGGTCGCCCTTCCAAATACTAGCCGGGGCCGACCCTGCTGAGCTTCTGGTTTCTGACGGGATCGGGCTAGGCTGGGCTATCCAGGTCAGGGCAGGGCATCCGGGTCAAGACAAGAGATGTTCAGAGCTTCTGAGATCGGATGAGATCGGGCCAGCCTGGGCCACCCGGGTCAAGGCAAGAAACAGAGGTGGCTTCCCCTTGCCTGCCTCTGCATAGCAACCCTGGACTCCCTTGGTGGTCTGCCAGGGCTCTTTTTGTAGAAAAAGCCCAGCAGGAACTCATTAGCATAACAGGCCACACCCAACAGCAGGAACTCATTAGCCTATTAGGCCACCCCCCCGACAACACAGCACATTAGCATATTAGGCCGCACCCCCATGCCACCAGAAGTGTGGTCATCCAGCCACACCCACCTTTTGCTTCTTATTCTGTTTACCTTGTTTGTGGTCCAAACCCAGGGCCTTTTTTTGTAGCAGGAACTCCTTTGCATGTTAGGCCACACACCCCTAATGTAGCCAATCCTAATGAGTTCCTGCTGTTGGGTGTGGCCTGTTATGCTAATGAGTTCCTGCTGGGCGTGGCCAACTCGGGAGCCAGCCGGAACTCCGTTCCTGTGCGTTCCTGCCCCAAAATAGCCCTGGTGGCCTCCAATGTTCCCTCTAAGCCGCACAGTCTTGTGAGCAAAAATTCTCCTTTGTGAGCTACTGGCATTAAAGTTGTGAGCGATTTGGCTACTGCATAAATCAGTTTGCTCTGGAGTCCCCCTTCCTGAGCCGAGACAAAAATGTGTAAGCTGGAGGCTAAAAAACTGTGAGCTAGCTCACACTAACTCAGCTTAGAGGGAACACTGGTGGCCTCCCATCCGAGTGTTAACCAGGGCCGACCCTGCTTAGCTTCTGAGATCTGACGAGATCGGACTAGGCTGGGCTATTCAGGTAAGGACAATAATTAAGTGCTGTCAAGTCGCAGCTGACGTACGGCAAACCCCCAGGGTATTCAGGGCAAGGGACACTCAAACACAGCTTGCCCTTGTCTGAGTAGCAACCCTGGACTTCCTTGGTGGTCTCCCATCCAAGGACTAACCAGGGCCGACCCTGCTTAGCTTCCATGCCCTGACAAGATCAGGCTAGTCAAGGCTATTCAGGTTGCTGGGTTCCCGGTGGACATGTTTAAAGGACTGAGGAAGAGCCAGAGGAGAAAGAGAGGGAAGGAACTCACACGAGGTGATGGGGGTAGGGGTTACCAGCCTCCAGGTGGGACCCGGGGATCCCCTGGAATTACAGCTCAGCTCTAGATGACAGGCATCAGTCCTCCTGGAGGAAACGGATGCTTTGGAGGGTGGATTCTAGGGCAGTGTGCCCCACTGAGGTCCCTGTCCTCCCCAGCTCCACCCCCAGATCTCCAGGAATTTCCCAACCTGGAGCTGGCAACTATGTCCCCATTCCCTGCTGGTGGCCTAGGGGCACCTGGCAACCTAGGAGATGGGACCAGCTTTCCTCCAAGTATGCTGAGCATCAGATGGTATCTAGAAGATCTATCCCCTTTCCTTGGTCCGAATGGGAGTCTCCGTCTAACTACCCGCTCATCCTTGCCAACTTCCCCCGGTCCTCCTTTCTGTGTTAAACTGCTCTCATTCAGGGCTGAGTTCCAAAACTGTCAGTACTTGACTCTTCTCAGCTATGGCTGAAATCAGACTCACTCAGTCAAGTCAGAAATCTGACTGACTCCTCAGTGTGCAGCTCTCAAGTCTCTCTCGGCTCAGCTGATGCTAACCAATCAGATCTCTTGGAACAACCTGTCACTCAATTATCTCCAGCTCTGTGAAGAATTAACCCTTCACAGTCCTTTAGACAGCACTTCTAAACGTTTAAAAGCACAGTCCATCACAGTCCATCACAGGTCACACCATCACAGATGGACTGGCTATAAAAGCTGTCAACATCCATTATGGATATGATTTTAAATAAAAGAGACAAGATTTATCGGCTATGTTAAAACAAAGTATCAAAATGGGATTTCAAGAACCTGATGTTGGCATTTTGAGAAGTGTTCTGATGGGGGTGCCCAGGGCTTTTTTGGTAGAAAAAGCCCAGCAGGAACTCATTAGCATAATAGGCCACACCCAACAACAGAAACTCATTAGCATATCCAGCCACACCCATGAAAGCATAGCTCATTAGCATATCAGGCCACACCCCCATGTTACCAGAAGTGTGGTCATCCAGCCACACCCACCTTTTGCTTCTTATTCTGTTTACCTTGTTTGTTGTCCAAACCCAGGGCTTTTTTTGTAGCAGGGACTCCTTTGCATGTGAGGCCACACACCCCTAATGTAGCCAATCCTAATGAGTTTCTGCTGTTGGGTGTGGCCTATTATGCTAATGAGTTCCTGCTGGGCGCGGCCAACTTGGGAGCCACCCGGAACTCCGTTCCTGTGCGTTCCTGCCCAAAAATAGCCCTGGGGGGTGCCTCTTCCAGGTCTATGTCACCTGCCCCGGAGACCCGGGCATTTTTGGTGGGGAGCAGAGCCCCCCTCAAGCCTGGGTTACCTGTCCACAGAGACGGCGGCCAGCGTGAAGCTGCTTGCATACATGGTGAGGTAGATGAAGAAGTGGACGGCCTTGCACATGAACGAGCCGAAGACCCAGCCCTCCAAGGAGTAGATGGTGGCCTGGAAGGGCACGCAGAAGATGATGAAGAAGAAGTCGGCCAAGCTGAGGTTGAGGATGAAGAGGTTGGTGCTGTTGTGGCCCATCTGCCCGTTCCTCAGCAGCACGGCCAGGACCAGGCTGTTGCCGACCACGCCGAGCAGGAAGATGAGGGAGAAGATGACCGGGACGATGACACTGGCCGGGCTGAACTGGGAAGTGTCGGAGTCGTTCCAGTGTCCAGCTAGGCTGGCGAAGTCCTCAGGTTCCGTCATGGTCATCTGCAGGTACGCAGGGGGAGAAGGAGAGAGGCGGTGACAAGAAAGAGCGGCCAGAGGTGAGTTAGCCCAGGACAAGGGGCAACTGGGGCAGTTGCCCCCAACTGCCTATGGGCTTGCCCCCCCCCAAGGAAGGGGAAAAGAGGAGAAGTTCTGGGGCATGAGGAGCTGGTTTCTGGCAGCTGTAGTGGCTCCCACATACTTTGCGTAGGAAAAAGAAGAAGAGATTGGATTTATACCCCGCCCTTCCCTACCGGAAGGAGTCTCAGAGTGGCTTACAATCTCCTTTCTCTTCCCCTCCCCACCACAAACACCCTGTGAGGCAGGTGGGGCTGAGAGAGCTCTGACAGAAACTGCTCTTGAGAGAACAGCTCTGAGAGAACTTTTAGTTGTGGGTCTTTTTTCTTTATTCCCTAGATGTAGTTCCCTTTCCTATATTTTCTGTTGTAGTTTTGTAGTCTGAAAAAAAACCCAATAAAAACCTCCCCCCAGGGGGATTGAAAAGAAAAAAAAAGACTGGCCCCAAGATAGTACGGTGCAGTGGTTAGTATTTTGGTGTAGAAGCAGGGAGACTTGGGTTCAAAAACCCTGCTCTGTCATAACCACTGTCTGGATGACCTTGGGGCCAGCCATGCACACGATCTCTCTCTCTGCCTCGCTCGGCCCCACAGGACCGTTGTGAAGATACCATGAGGAAGAACCCAATGCCAAAACCAGGAAGAACCTGAGACCCTTGGAGAAAGAGCAGGATTTAAAAAATGCAGATTGACTTCCTAGCGTTGGACTAGACCTGAGTTTGAATCCCCACACAGTCATGAAGCTTGCTGGGTGGCCTTGGGACAGTCATTTTCCATATCAACCTCACCCTACCTCACAGGGGTGTTGTGAGGATACAGTGGAGGACGGGAGGACCACATATGTCGTTTGGAGGAAAGGCAGGATAAAACTGTACTCGATAGATTGATAGGGAGCCAATACTCATACCAGGGCTGTTTCAGGTTGGGAAAACAGCAGAGGGACAAAGGTCAAAGCTCTCCTCCCTGTCCAACAAGGCCCTGATCCAAACTGGAGCCCTGCGTACTTGGGAACTGAGTTCCCCGCAGGAAGCTGGCAGCTGATCCATGGAAAAACATAATGTGTCGTTTAACCCTGAGCCACGTCCCTTCGCTCGAAAAGCTTTACGCGCAGAGAGGGATTTCATTTTCGCTCTCCCTCCCGCATCACGCCCCGGCTGCAAAGTCCTTTCGAAAGGGGGCCCCTCGGGTGCTCCAAATGGATGCACCGTTCCTTGGGTCCCGTCCAAAGACCTCTTGAGTTCCTAAGTAAGTCCGAAGGCAAACTGCGAGCAGTAAATTTCTGCCTCGCAAGTGAACAGCATCCCGGCATTCGGGCTCGGCCTCGCTCCAAGCATCTGTCCGGGCACAGGTTTCAATCTGAATATTTGGCAAGGGGGAAACGAGTGTTCGGCACTGAGTTACAGCTCGGGGGATGTGTTGGGGAGGGATTCGTGCGTTCACGACATCTGTAGCCGCTGTGAATTTAGCGCCCGTGTCTCCGGAGCTCAGTTTCCCCAGCAAGCTGATGGATCACAGCTGGGCCAAACCGTTCCCACTCCGGCAATAAGAGTCAAGTGCTAGATCAAGACGCGTGCCAGGAAAATTGATTTTATTACAATGCAGAAATCTACGGCGGCGACGTCTGTCCGTCGCTCCGACCGCATTCGAATTCCACTCTGCTGAATAAAGTCAGTGTTGTGCAGAGGAGAGAGAGAGAGAGTTATAATCGCCCGTCTCCCTAGGCGCATGGATCTAAAACAACAGTTTTAACAATTTCAGGCATGTTTCTAGGGGGTTTTGGAGTTCCTCTTGCAGCTTTCAAGAACAGCTCTGAATTTGTCCCAAGTGTTTGGAGTTGTGTGATGTAAAATCCTGGCTGGCAACTGATTTTTAACCTTTCCTGGTGCCCGCCAAGAGTTTTTAGAAAGTGGGCAGATGGCCCTTTTGCCCAGCAAGGCTTCTGACTGGGCATTTGAGATTTGATTTGCTCTGCGGATTATTTATTTATTTATGTATATGCCGCCCTCCCCACAGTATGTTGCTTTGGCAGCAGCTGACACCACATCCCAAGGACCTTCCCTGTGTGACTGAAGATAAGCTGCGGCAGCCATTTTGTGGCTGGCTCCGCCTCCTGAGGTGGCCATTTTGGGCTGCCATTTTGTGGCTCCACCCACTACACTGTATCAGAATTCCAGAGGTTCCTGTAGACTCAGAAAGGTTGGGAACCCCTGGATTAGAGTGTCAGACTAGGATCTGGGAAATGAAGGTTCGAATCTCTGCTATGCCACGGAACCTAGCTGAGTTACCTCAAGCTGGTCACCCACCCTCAGCCTAACCTAGTCCTATGAGGAAAGGTTGAAAGAGCTGGGTATGTTTAGCCTGGGGAGGAAATGACTGAGAGGTGATACAGTAACCATCTTTACGTACTTGAAGGGCTGCTGTATAGAGGGTGGGGCGGAGTTGTTTTCAGTTGCCCCAGAAGGTTAGACCAAAACCGACAAGTTGAAATTAAATCCGAAGAGTTTTCGGCTAAACATGAGGAAGAACTTCCTGACAGTTTGAGTGGTTCCTCAGTGGGACAGGCTTCCTCAGGAGGTGGTGGGCTCTCCTTCTCTGGAGGTTTTCAGACAGAGGCTAGATGGCCGTCTGACAGCCACGCTGAGCCTTTAAACTTGGGCAGATCACGAGAAGGGAGGGCAAGGAGAGTTGCCTCAGTGCTTAGTCCTTGTGGCCCTTCCTTACACGCCCAGGGAAATGCTGATCACCACTTTGGGGTCAGGAAGCCATTTTTCTCCAGGCCAGTTTGGCCGGGGACCCTGGAGGTTTTTTGTCATCTTCTGGGCATGGAACAGCCTTCTGCAGGGGGTTGGACTAGCTGACCCTGGAGGTCCCTTCCGACTCTATGATTCTAACCCACCTCATAGGGTTGTTGTGAGGATAAAATGAAGGAGAGGAGAATAATGTGAGATTGTAAGCCACTCTGAGACGCCTTCTGGTAGTGAAGGGCGGGGTATAAATCCAATCTCCTCCTCCTCCTCCTGCAGTTTCACATACAAAGTTGATATCGACCACCGACGAAGGCCCTAGAGGCCGAAACGCATATCGGTTTTGTTGGTCATCTGACATACCCATCAACTGTATGTGTGAAACGATCGACTTTGTATGCGAAACTACTACAGCTTCTGTAAAGCTCACGTTGACGTTCTGTGCAGTCTGATATCCAGACCTTACGCTTTCAATCTGCGCCGTTGTGTACACCATATAATAAATACATATTTGGATAATCTTTTATTTGAGGTAGCTTGACCCTTGCAGCATTATTGGTATTTTTTTGGGGGGGGGGTTGAGTTTGTTTCTCCCTTTTCCTTCATTTGTAACCCTAGCTAGCAGCCCGACAGATAAAGGGTAGGAAGGGGGAGTCTGATTTACATCTCCTTTTCTGTTGAGTGCAAATTGTACAACGCACTGGTTCCCTTTGTCCCCAAAGACGTTGGCTTGTCCAGAGGCCAATCACTGACCTCCCTAGCCTGGCACTGCATACTCCGAGTGGCAGTGGTTCTCCAGCGTCTCGTCCAGTGGTGGTGGAAATTGCCGTCAAGAAGAAGAGGAGGAGGAGGAGGAGATTGGATTTATACCCCACCCTTCACTACCCAAAGGTGTCTCAGAGCGGCTTACAAACTCCTTTCCCTTCCCCTCACCACAACAGACACCCTGGGAGGTTGGTGGGGCTGAGAGAGCTCTTGACAGAAACTGCTCTTTTTTCAAGGACAGCTCTTATCAGAACTACGGCTGGCCCAAGGTCATCCAGCCAGGTGCGAGTGGAGGAGTGGCGAATCACACCCGGTTCTCCCAGATTAGACAACAGACACCCTGGGAGGCAGGTGGGGCTGAGAGAGCTCTGACAGAAACAGCTCTTTTTCAAGAACAGATCTTATCAGAGCTACGGCTTGCCCAAGGCCATCCAGCCAGGTGCAAGTGGAGGAGTGGGGGAATCAAACCCGGTTCTCCCAGATTACAGTCCGCGCGCTTAACCACGACACCAAACGGGCTCTCTCACCGAACTGGCTCTCGTAGCAACCAACTTAGGGTGAATTTGGGGTCAGGAAACAATTGTTCTCCAGGCCAATTGGGGTGGACATCCTGGAGGTTTTTTGTCATCTCCTGGGCATGGAACAGCGGTCACTGGGGGTGTGGGGAAGGAGGTATTTGTGAATTTCCTGGATCGTGCAGGGGGTTGGACTAGATGACCCTGGAGTTCCCTTCCAGCTCTATGATTTCATGACCCTGTAGGGTTTCCGAGGCAAGAGAGGAACAGAGGTGGTTTGCCATTGCCTGTCTCTGTGTCACGACCCTTGGTGGTCTCCCATCCAAGAACTAACCAGGGTTAGTGGTTAAGAATGGCAGACTCTAATCTGGAGAGCTGGGCTTGATTCCGCACTCCTCCACATGAAGCCAGCTGGGTGGCCTTGGGTCAGTCACAGCCCTCTCAGGGCTCTCTCAGGCCCCGAAAATAAGTCTAGCTCGCCACCTAGGGGTGCCTAACGCTAAAAGGGTTAGAACGCTAAAAAGCTGCCGGGCAATTTTAGGATCTCCTGGCTGTACGACACACAATGTCATACAGTAATTAATTAATTAATTACTAACCAGAGCCAACCCTGCTTAGCTTCCAGGAGAAGAAGAGGAGATTGGATTTATACCCCGCCCTTCGCTACCCGAAGGCATCTCAGAGCGTTTCCCTTCCCCTCCCCACAACAGACACCCTGTGAGGTAGGTGGGGCTGAGAGAGCTCTCTCGAGGACTGCTCTTGAGAGAACAGCTCTTGTGGTCCCTTCTTACACACCCAGGGAAATGCTGATTACCACCTTGGGGTCAGGAAGCAATTTGTCTCCAGGCCAGTTTGGCCGGAAATCCTGGAGGTTTTTTGTCATCTTCTGGGCGTGG